CAATCTCTGTACTGAAATTAATATACATACAATTTATGCATATTAATATTTTTATTACCTAAGTAATTCAAGAAAAATATTTAGCCTACAAAATTTATATTAGAAGCCAAAATGTGTAGTCCTGGGAGCTTGCTTGAGCAAAGGCTGCAGGTTTTGGCCATGGTTCTTTAAAAGTAGCCAATATCTAAAAGGGTGATTAAAAATGAAACATTGATTCTCCGTGCACAGAGTACAAGTCTTTGTCCATATAGTCCACAGCTTCATTTTGTGTTACCTTGCAGCACAAAGCCTAGTAATAAATTTGTTATATCTATTGTAATTTACATAAATTACAAGGTGCTAATCCTTAGCCTACGCACAGGTAGGATGGGATTCATCTGTTCTGATGTCAAAGATAATCATCTACAGCCTATGCCTTAGATAGTCATCTATAGGATGACTAACATAGAACAGGACCCAAGCTCCTTTGCAAGCAAAAGGATGGATCATCTGGATAGTGGTTCATCCTATCCTAAGCCAGGTCCTTTAAAAAGCACATACGATAAAACATAGCCTGAAGGCTGCCTACTTCCCTCTAGTAACTACAAGCAGATTTAGGATTACAAACTCAGACTTGTTGTGTGGTCGTGCTCAGATTTGCCTCATGTTACAACAATAGTTGTAAACAATATATAATTATTTTCGGTAAATAGAAGCCACACAACAAAATAAAACCTGAAACTAATCTTCTCCTTGAAATTAAATAACAACCAGTCAAACCATAAGCACCAATTCTAAATACTGAATGTCAACTAATGAATTATGTAACATCCCATCCTTTTGTTTCCAAAATGCTGACTTTGAGGTCATTCAACAGAAACTCCCAAATTTCAGTTTCTGAAACTGTCAGTTTCTGGCCCTGCTTGACTTGTCTATGTGATAACTTACAGATCAGGATATAAAGCATAAAGAACACAGCATAAAGAACAACTTGCCACAAAGCTTTGACTGTCTCAGCATTTAGAGAATTTTGCATGGAACTGGGACACAAAATTGCCATTTATTTTATCTGTCACTAAAAGCAGCTTCTTTAGTAGCAACTAAATATGGGATCAAAAAATCAAGATCATAAATCGCAGGCTTTAATAGCTAATTCTTTTTTGATTGTTTTATGTCTAGGAAAAAGTCACCGTGATTGCACTGAATATTTCTATGAAATCTCTGTTTAAGTTTTACTTTCTGATTATCTTTTCCACACCTTTTTTCATTGAGGAAGAGAAGCCCTCTGTTTTATATCATTAAATACAATGTAAAACTCCACAAGTCTTCTAAATGTACCACAATATTTGGGAACTAATGAACTACTTCCACTCAAGTCCTAATGAATTCCCTGTAGTAGTGCAGGCTTTTGTTGGGTGTTAGTACCAGAGAAAATTATGGTTTAGTCTCCTAGAATTAAGTTGGAAATGACAGTCTGCTTCCATAACCTTCGCCCTCACAAGCAGCTGAAATGTTATAAACAGATTTGTTTACTTCCCAGATTTAGCATTCAAAACTGATGCTCCTTCTTTATGGGTATTTTTTCATTTTTTAACTAACTAAAACTTTTAAGTCCACCTTCTAGAGCTTTGTTCAACTGCTAAGAGATCTACCATCAAAAAAAAGTCCTTCTGAACTCTGCATTTCTATGTTCGTGCTCCTGCTATTATTCTTCTGGTCTTCAGAATTCTACTCAACAAAAGACAGTACACTGGAGCTTAAAAGAAAGTACTGAGGTAGATGGACACTAAACAATCCTATTTTTTTTTACTTCTGAGCAATCATTCTGTCTCAATACTTCCTCCAGATTCCTGTAACTCTGCAACCCATGCAGAGTGCATCTGAATGAGTATGAACATGCAGGAACAAGACTCAATGTATCACAATACTTGGTAATTATTCTCTTGAAAACATATTTGTCTAGACTCTGATCCATAGCAACATTTTATTTCTCATTAATTACTATTTTGCCACCTCAAAATCTCCCTGGGAGGTATTTTTTAGAAGTGCACTCAAAGTCCAAACGGATTGTGTTAACCAGTTCTCTTTTATCTTCTAACTCACTAGCATGCTCAAAACTTTCTTTTCAATATTTTCATATACTGAAATCCATGTTCAATGGATGTTTTAGATACTCCGAATTATTACCTCAGTTAGGTATTTTTGTTATGAAATAAGGCCCCATATTCTGCAATTTAGATTCTCAGCAGATTTTTAGCAGATTAGCTACTTTATTATTGAGTTATATTAGATCTCCCTGGAAAAATACCAGACGATCCTCTCCTAAAATTCCAGTATCTTATCTCCTGATGCCTCAACCTCTATTTTTCACTGGATAAATTAGTTCCCAAGCTAATATCCTGTGATGAAGATAGCTGTAACATAAACATAAATGTAGTTTCTCTTCAATATACTTATCCTCTCTAATTGCATTCTTTACTTGGTTATAATCCCACAAATCGAATGATTCTGCCAATGGCTTCCTACTTCTGAATGATGTACTTTTCTTAGACCTGTAAGCCTAAGGAAGAAAGCTATAGCGGGAGTGAACTTACATCATTTTCATTCACGACTTCGAATCTGTTCACTTTGTAGCATCGCTGATATTAAGCAGTCCACTGTTGAAGCGTTTTGTAACACATTGCACCTGGCATGACAGACTCAATAAAATTGCCCTGCATGTACTGTGTGAAGTTTGCCTAGGTTTGCATAGGGAAGTGAAATTACACATCTTTGTACTGGATACACAAAGTAAGCACTTTTAAAACATAATCCGATTGTATTTTCTCTGAGTTCAATTATCTCATTTCTCTTCATCTCTGTACTGCTGTTTTTTCTGTTTGCTTCATTGCCTGGTTCTCGATACCCCTCTCTTTGTATCTCCTTGCTTTGTTTTCCTTCTTTTTATTCTTAATTATTATAATACTCCTTTTTTTTAGTGCTCTGCTTCTGTTTGACCCTTTTCTGCCTCTTACTTCTTCCTCTCTGTACGTGCCTTCCCATCCTGCTGCTTTCTCATTTTTTTCTGCTGTGTGCAGAAGAAAAACTGCCACACACAGTACATCAGATACTAGACAATAAATGTATGGGAATGTTGTAGAATCCTATCAAGGGAGTCATTTCCATCACAACACTGTATCAGTGCCAGAATAACTGCTACTGGTGTATTACAAATGCCTCAGACATACAATCTGTGGAAAAAAAAAGCAGCAGGTTGCCACTTTCTTAAACATGTGAAAACTAGTGCGCAGAAGATAAGTTAACATTTTAAGCTCCAACATCAATCTAGAGTACACCACAGGGGCTTCTTCATCACCTGCAGTTTACATCTTCTGGACGGGTTGCAAAGTCCATTTGTTGACACCCATAGCTATACAAAAACATATACAATGCATAAGCTTTGAGGATTCCCTTGATGTTTGGTTGCCTCTATTGTGCCATTTGGTTGAATTTTGTTAGTGAAATACAGGAATATGAAACTGAAAATATTGCCTAGACATCTGAGAAAACCAGAAAACAAAAGTTTCGTGTAAAAATGTTCACCAGTGCCTAACATTTGTTGCCATACACATGCTGTCTTTTCTGAATTGACTGCCTATTCCCTTATTCGCACCTATCTGGGACCTAAAATTCAGGCATCCCTGAGCTCAGACCTCCTGGAGAACTCAAATTCTAGTTATGTTCTCAGCTCAGAATTTAGTTCCAGAAAAATGTGGCAAACGGTGGTAGAGACCTTTTAAACAAACAGAACTCTTATAAGAGAAGTTGCTCAGGAAGGCAAACCCTGACCCTACCTGACAGATTAGCAGCTAGGCAGAGTATTTAAATTCTGATACAAGTTACTGTTTCTTAATACAGTTAAAGTTCTTACTTCTCTATTCAATGATTTTTGATCTGAAACATATAAATAGGCTAGGTTACAAGGACCCAAGCATTTATGAGCTATCCTTGGTTGGATGTGTGTGTGTTAAAATCCTTGGGTTGGACAAGATGACCTCCAGAGGTCCCTCTCAACCTAAACCATTCTGTTATTCTGTGATCCTCTGAGGCTGAGGTATAACTAGAAGTCAGATCTCCCTTTCTCAAAGCAAATGCTCAAACTACCACACTACTGTGCCAAAAGTGAGCAGGAGCATTACCTCATCACTATTTCTGGAGGAAAGAGAGATCCCAGTATTTATTCCCAGATTTTCAAGCGCTTAGTCTCTGAGGTATCTACCTCTATCTATTTTCAAGTCTACTAATTTTCTGAGCATGATGTAGTTTGTATTACTAGTAATCCTCAATGAATCTCACTGTTGAGTTTCTCCTTGAACCTACATAAGCCTTTTTGCATTCACAAGGACTTTCGCAAATAATCTTAGATAAGTAGCTCTGGAAAATGGAAATGAAAAAGAAAGACTGTTCAAGGGTGAGTATCATTCAGGATTATTTCAAGTTTAAAAGAAGGTACTCTAGAGAAAGATAAATACTGGACAATTCCAGAGTTTCATGCACTAGAGACTCCAAACACTTCAATGCCTGTAGTTTTCAGAGGAATAAATTTGTTCTATCACTTTTATACCTTGATTCGACAGTGTATGAAGTGATATATTATCAATGCTACAATAATATAAAAGTATGCAGGGTATTTTTTAAGGTGCAGACAACAGTGTTATGCGTTCTGAGCAGCACAAAATAAATTTTATTCGGTTATCTGTGATGATAAAAATAAATTTGTATAATAAAATGGGTATGTTTATACACATGGCTTATTTTTTTTCAATTTCCAGAGAAAACTAGTCACTATTAGCAGTTAAAAAACGTAGAGCAAAATTACTAAATATATTCAATCTTTAAAAAAAAAAAATCACAATAAAGACTATTATTTCAACTCATCTAAAATGTAAAAATTTGGTAGTATACTTTTCTACTGGTACAAAATAAAACCCTGTAACAGCAACTCCAGTAACTCTGTATTACTTAAGAATCTTTATATTTACCCACGCACTGGAATATTCATATTCCTTGCAGATTTAGCAACTTCTTCAAATTTTTCTATGCTTTCTTCAATTGAACAATTAATATTCATTTTGCTAAATGATTCAGATGCTGCACCAAATACTGAGACTTCTGTAGCCCCTGCTGCAATCTGAAAAATACATTTCAATAAAACAGAATCATAAGACTGTATTAAAAGATTAGATTAAGCATTTAATTTTGTACAACAATCTAGAATTTGAAAGTACATTATATCATTCATATCTAAAATATAATTTTCATTCCAATTTTTTTTAAATCTATTGCGTAAAAACAGATTGAATCAAAGTTTGTTCACTATGGCATATTTCCTTCCTCTTCTAAGCAATTAGGTAAACATGTTTTTAAAGTGATAAATAATAAAGGTATTAAGATGTAGGAAATCATATGAACCAACTATGAAAACAACAATGATCGATACTTTTATTCATTTTTCAGAAAAGGAAAAGATCATATAACAATGCTGAAATATCCATCCGCTGCCTATTCCTCATGAATGCCAGGAAGTCATTCTCATGTTTAGGAAAGCTCTGTGCCTGCATGTGCCTGGAGCAGCAACAAAAAACAACAGGAATTTCCTTGTTAGAGCCAGCTCTACGATCAAGGGCTCCGTTGGTCTTGGTGTCGTAGTCGACAGGGATAATATGGAAAATGTGTACATGAGAGTCTGCTGAGAAAAAGTCTCAGAGCAAATACCAGTCTAGAAAATGTGTAAATGTGGTGACTTCACTGAAGGGGCAACTAGCCTGAGCTTGTACTCAGTACCTCAGTACTCAGTAAATCAACTAACATGAGGCAAACTAGAATGCTGAAAGCCAAATGATAGGAGAAGAAAACATTTAAGCTTAGGAGAATAGCTAATTAATTCTCACTTTCCAGTGGGAATAATACTCTTGTTCTATGAAAAAGAATGGAGCTTTTCCTTTTCTCTCTGCTTCTGCAGGATAATGTCTAAGCTTCAGCAACCCTTACAGAACAAATATCCTTTCAAATAGACGGAAGAAAAAAAAAATAGCAGCAAGAAAGAACTCAGCAATAACCTACAACTATTTTTGCATTGTTTTCCTTTCACTAAATACGGTATAGAGATATAGCAGGTTTAATTAAACTCATACAAGCTACCATTGCAGACAAAGTTGTGGCACTGTAAATCTGCCTATTGATAGTTAACTTGCCTATGTACAGGTTTCTGTTTTAACAGATGCGTATAGAAACTGAATGATAGACTACACCACAAATGTCCATAAGCAGTATGCTTTCCAACTATGGCTTGTCCTATATCAAGACAAAAGCACAGAAGCATGAAAAATTTTCAGAAAACAAAAAAGTGTAAAGATTTGACTATCAATGTGTATGTTTTAAGAAGACTGAACTGCTCCATTTTCACAATTCCAAACACTTCGAGTCTATAATTTTGAATATTTATTTTGTATGAACTGAAAAAATTTAAACTTCTGAACTCTGCCAAAATGAAATGCAGAATTTAAGAAATCTAATACATTCCTATAAAGCATTTTCATTTCATTGACCCTTTCCTCATTCTTCTTCACTATTTTCCAATAAGAAGACACTCTTCAGAAACTTTTCTAGGACCAACAAGTCAAAGAAGGAGTAGGAATTGTCTTTCTCTTTATACACAAGCATCATTTATAGGAACTTGCAAAGCCTGTTTGATTAATACTTTCATTAAAATACGAATATATAGAGCTTAACATCGCTCTGTGAATTTGCCCATTTTTCACAATGAAAACCAAGAGTTTTTAATTAGAAAAACTATAGCTTAGTTCTAGCAGGATAGGTTATATGACATTAAATAGCTAGTTTGTGGTACTGAACTGAAAGTGTCTGTAACATGAAAGAGGTAATTGTGGACATCTTCTATAAAGACACTTACAGCAGAATGAAAACCTTGAAGATTAGGTGTGAGAACAGGATATTGGACTCCAGGATGCCGCTCAATGCCCCTCATTACTTCTTTGTGATCTGCCATCTGAAATACAGAAATAATTTGTATTGATCAGCAGTTATTTTCTAAGTTAAGCAGAAATTGTCTCAGACTGTGTTTTTGCCTTCATTAGGTATAGAGTTCATACAAAAAGTTTAACAACAAAGGGGTTAAACTAATATTGTACAAGCACTCTTTTTTTGGATTTCTTAACTTTTGAGTATTTAAATTGCAAGCTTTCCAGTTCTATATGAATATAGAATTGGGGGTAAGATTTCTACGGTGTTTCTTTTCGTGTGTATCTGTAAAAACATAATTTGCATCATAAATTGACAGACTTTTGATCATGCTGATCATCAACTGTTATTGCAACTTTAAACTTACCTCAATGGACTCAATAGGTGGAATTAACAGAATAACTGACATTTTAAAACCATCCAAATCTTGAAAACTTCAGCACTCTCATAAATGCAACTTCACAATCTTAAGCATAAGTGAACCTGAATTACTCAACACTGTAATCAGCATATTTGAAAAGACTAATCACAGGTCTATCCTTAAAAATATAGAAAAATCCAGTTCTCTGCATAGTGTAACATTTTAATATACTTAGAATTTTCTTTCAAAAGAAGAAAATACTTCTTTACTATAGCAAAGGTCAAAGACCATTACTTCATTCAAGCATTTCTTTTCCTTATCTCCTCTCACAAAAGAAACTGCTTTTTTAAGATATTCTTACACTTTTTTTACTCAAGATTAAATACACTCCATGTACTAATCAAGATGATGAATCTAGGACTTTCATGTAATAAATGGTAGATTATTTAGACAAGCAGATTTTCTTGAAAGAAGTGGAGGAAAAATGAGTTTATTTTTTAATGGTGTGCATGCCTGAAAATAATACAGTTAATAAAACATATCCCTCATATTTCATGCCTTACAGATTTTGAGTTTTAAAAAATGCATAGTGTATTTTAAATGTTTTTTTTAAATCAGCTCACATAAAAGCAAATCTTCCAAGCAAACAATATTAGACTGGATTTCTGATTCTTTCCACACTGATGAAAAGTCATTTGAGGAGTACTGTATGAAAAGATATATGAACTACAAAGCTTTCGTTACTCCTTATTTTCAACGGATTGATAGCTTTGCAGTACCACAATTCTAAATATGTGTTATTAAATTATACCAGATTATTAAGTAACAATACTACTGGCAACCTGGAATCTTCCTGGCACTGGTTTCCTACCATGAAAATGAATGGATTAAAAATATCAGAAAAATGCATGTATGCCTTCTCAAATGTGAGCCCAACATGTATCTATAAGGAAGTGGATATATGACATGAAAAGTGTCTTATAGCCAGACACAACTCGTTTCTCATCAGGAAACAAGCAATGGCGCAAAGCAACTTTTTGTAATTGCTTCTACATAAACTAAATCAGTGTGACCACATAACATATCTGATAACCTCATAAAAAAACATTTAGTAATGCCTTAGCTTTTTAAGAACAATTTTTCATTCCTTAATTTAATATAAATAGTATCTACATTTCTCAGGGCAAGGAATAATTTTTGAAACCAAATGATTCATTGAATGGCAAATGCTGGAACTAATTCCACACTTTAAAATTATAGCCTGACTTAAAATATACTAGAAAACCAAAATGACACTTTTTCAACCCGTAAAAAGCTGCCAGGTCCAAATAATATTATATGTATTACATTTGTCCCATTACTATTTTTTCTGTAAGTAAAATCCCATTTTAACACATATTGCATGTTATAAGATTTTAAATTGTAATAAAATATTTCTTTTCCAAATTTCTTTAAAAATAAGCTTTCTAATGGTAGGTATTTATAATTTTTGGCCGTTTAGGTTATAGGTGTGGGATCCTGTTTTATATGGCACCTCGCTACTGTGGAACTTTTCCTTTTAGCTTTTTTCAGTAAAAAAAATCTCTGCCAAAAACAACAGTGGATGGGAAACCATAAAAGAGCTTTAAAATACTAAAAAAAGAAGTAAGTGAATGAGTGATCTAAACATAACCGTGAATTCTATTCCCATGACCTATGAAAAGAAAAAAGAAAGGAGCAAAGAAAAGACGAAGTCAAGACTGCACTCTCTATCAAAGCAATACAATCTTATCTTTTAAATAAAAAACATTTTAAACACAAATTAAGCCATTAAAATATTCAGACATGAATTTAAGATAAGAAGGGATTGTTCATTTTTTCCAAAACTGACAAACCTGTGCTAAATTTGGTATTCCTAATAGCTCACTGGGAAAGTAAATAATTAAACAAGAAAGGAAGAAACCCACCTTTGCTTTAGACTTTCCTTCTAATGTTTAAAAACTCCTACATTATTCTCTGTTGCTGTAACTGCCAAAGTTTGATGGCACTTGGAAAAACTTAGCCTAGCCGCTTTTAATGGACACAATCTGAAAACTCATTGCCCCTGCATTGACACCAAAGAAATTCTGCATTGTCGCTGTTCTCTTCCCCTTTCCTATTATGCTTCCTTTAGGCCCTTCCCTGGTAATACCGGGAACACTGAAATAAATCAAAGGAGCCCCTTAGAGAGTGCTGTACAGCCAGTTTGCTCTGCTAACTCATGAATAAGAAACAGTATGATCATACCATGTTTTTCTCAGAGGAAAGCCTGGAATACAGTCCAGGCCCAGGATGCATTCTCAGTTTTAAAAGGACAAACTTTATATACATTTTGACAGAAGATGTGAAACAAACAACGTTAAAAATTGCAGTATTTTCTCAAATCAATTAATTTCATGTTTTATGTTGTAAATAACTTGTGTGGTCCTTACTAAACATACAAGTACTCAAACGCTTCTGTGCAAACAAGTGCGTAATTTCTTGAAAATTAGTTTAAATTATATAGACAAGTATTGACTTATTTCCTTACTTGAAGGGAATGACTAAGTTTGCACAAACAGGAGCTACATAGTATACTTCAGGACTAAGCCTGAATTTGCAGTGTTAAATCTCAGATGAAAACCTGGCACTCCTAATGCCCATGTAGTTTTGCTGCTGAGTTCAGAAAGGCTGGAATTTCTGTTGAATTGTACCAAATGTAAAAATTAATTTTGGAAAAATAATAAGCAAATTATTATGATTCATCAAAACTCAGTATGGCTGCTGATAGAGTGCTAGATCTGCAAAATAAGTAATGTGCCTAACTACTACTACATAGACAAAAGTGCCAAATTTAGATCGTCCAAACACACTTCCAAATGTGGAAAAAGAAATTTCATTTAGGGGAAAAGAAAAAAAACTATGCTACCTTTCTTTTTTACATCAATGACTATTAGTTCTCAGAAGAGTAGAAAAGAGGTAGGAACAACATTAAATTATATTAATAATGTGTCACCATCCCAATTCTTCAGTTACAACTGAATATTTACATAAATAAAGAGCAAAATAAAATGCACAAGTACTTTCTTTATCTCCATTCCACAGTACAATGGTAACATTGATTGTAAAGAGTTTTCTCGATATTGTTAACTGCAGAAAGTCACTGTCCCTTTGTGAGCAAATTCAAAATCAGGATAGAACTGCAACATCTCTCCTTAACTAGAATCCTTAACATGTAAGTGTATGTGTGTTTGTGTGTGTGTGCACGTCTGTAAGGTTAGTGTTTGGAAAAGGGGGACTGCGTGGTGGATAGATACACGGAAATGTACCAAGTGCAGCAGATAAAAAATGGTGTTTGGCTTCAGGGAAGAGTCAAGTTTCCATGACAGTCCAACAACCCCTAGGCCTGGGGAGTCTCCTCTCCCGGTTTGGTGCTAGGGAGCTCTATAGAGAAGTTTCCCCAGGTTGCACAAGCCCTGTGCACCTAGGTTTTCCTTCTCTGACTCTAGGTCTCTGAACTGACGTTGCTTCCACAGAAGTCCCCTCCACCATGACTGTTCCCCAGAGATCAGCCCCACTGCTGTTCATCTCGATACTCAAGCTTAGTACTCTGCAGCCCAACAGCTTCATATTCTCAAATCTTTATCACTATGTCTACGCTCAGCATCCTATATCCCAGCTGTCCTTTACTCGGAGGGTTGATACATCATCCCCACTCAGCATCCTGTGACCCAATTCTCTCACTCCCCATTTACTGCTGTCCCTTGCACATAGATACTCATACAAATTCCTACCCTCATGCTGCAAGGGGGAAATAGGGAATCACCCACTAAATTATTCATGTTTGGAGAGCGATGACAATATTTAAGATTTCTCACACCCTATGTAGTAACCATGGCAAACTGTACTCCTAGCATTTCTGTTGATCAGGGCCCGGAGTGGTCCCCTTCTTAGAGTTTAGCTGCCTGCACTCAAGGCCAGCTCACTGATAAGAAGACAGCAACCTGAGAAGCCTCAGCCTTGGAGCTCATCAATAAAAGCTGGAAAGCAGATCAGCAGAGGCTCCACCAAAGAGCTGTTAAGAAGTCTTAATGTGGCCTACCCTCCCTTTTCACTCAGAAGAAACTTTTAAGCTGAGACACTCTCATGCTTCCTCCCTGCCTGAGACACAGTGCAGCTGCACAGCAGCAGCCAAGCCCATGCTTGGCCGTGTACCTTACTGACTGGATCCTGACTACCTCTCACAGGGTTGACTCCCCGGCTGCATCACTGCAGACTCACCTGAGTATGTGTACTCTTGGCTGCCCTGGCTACCCTCACCAGCCTTCCTCTGCTCTCACAGACTGTTGGACTGCCCTTTGGTCAACAAGGCTACAACCTCTGCTCCCCTTGTTATCGTGCTTGGCTTCCAGTTCCCCTTCTCTTCTGGAGCAACCGCTCCCTAACTCTGCTGAGTGAGGGATGTAACCAGCTTTCCGCACAGCTTGCTGGCTTTTTTTTTGCCTCCGTTTTAATAATTAGCCCAACTTCAGCTGAGCTGAATAAAAGCATAAAACTTGAAAACTGCGTAAATGGTGTCTGACAACAGCATCTGATTTTACAAATAAACAACATATTGTTTCTGTTCAATTTTCTTATATAATTATACAGGTTATACTACTGGTTATACTACTACTGCATGGAATGGCATTTAAATTGAAATAGTTCTGAATGGTGATGATTTTACATACCTGAGGCACCCACTTGGATGAAACGAAACTGGTCACTTCTATTGCAGGCAGGCCTGTTCTGGAAAGCCGGTTGATTAACTCAATTTTGATATCAGTTGGGACTATCACCTGCGGACATGGAGATATACTATAGTAAAGTATTTCATGTGGTAAGAAACTTCTGTAAGTAAAATGTTCTTAGCACATAATCAATTCTTATTTTTCTTAAAAAATGAACTATATTCATACATTATACTGTAACTATACTGTTTCATGACAGTAGGAAGCTACTGCACAAGGAAAGCACTAGGCAGTATACATGATCCTACTCCATTTTTTGTCTGCCACAAAAGAATGAGGAAGCACCTCCATGTAATTTGTTATAGATCTAGCACCACTAATTGTTAGTAACCAAACACCAACCTAGCAAAGTAGTGACAAAGGAAATGGTAACACAGAGTAGTCCAACCAGAGAAAAATGAAAAAAAAAAAAAGCTCCACAGCTGAGGCAGAGTAATTCTCCTGTTTACACTATTAACACCTTTGATATCAGTAACAATGATATACATAAGCTTATCCTCCTGTTTGTGGAAAGAGATGATTGTTTTGATACATGTAACCTATTTTACATAGTCTCTTTCAATCTTCTTCCATGCTTCCCTACCAACTCTTCAGGCAAATATTATCAAAAGAGTGGGTTTTTTTTCTTTCCATGCAATTCCTACTATAGTAGCACATGTAGCACAAATGTATATTATGAAGATAGTCAGTGTTTCATGGCATTTACCAGTTATGTCATGACAGAATGGGATTGATTGACAAGACAAATACCAGAGAGAAAAATGGCAGTAGAGTAAGAGAAAGGCTAGTTAACCAAGTATAGCAAGAAATTATATGATTTAACATCTGGCTAAATAGTAATATACCTTTATTCTAATAGACAAGACAGTTATTAACACACAAATCAATAAATATATTTATAGTATAAAATGGAAGAAACACAATTAGCAGGATACGTGTATTTTACACAATGAAAATAATGCTGATATCCATGTCAAAATACACTCCCAAAAAAGAGAAAAATTACCTTTTCATTTTGTAATCCATCTCTTGGCCCAACTTCTACAATCTTTATGTATTCAGGCAGTCCAGACGCTTGAGATTCCTGAAATACAAATCAATACTGAAACACAAAACAATGAAGATCACTAAGATCAAAGGTACACCTTGTACTGGTCCTCTCATATGATTCTGGGTATAAAGTCATATTCTCAACAGTAACTTTGCTCACAGCCTTTAAAAATCTGTGAGAGCATGCTCCATACCTTGAGTTAGGGAATAAAAGTTAAAAGCAGAAGTTATCTGCATGCATGTTCCACTGCTCCTCTGAGGCCACAAATGTTTATTATAAAAATGTACATAAAACCATAAATGAACATTGTGTTTTACAGAGTGAGAAATATTCCCATTTCAAAAGGCTTCCCAAAGAACAATCTAGTTCTCCAAACTTCTAACTGAATAGTTACTTCTCTGTAAATGTTTGCAAGACCAGGCTATAAATCTGAAAAGAACAGAGCAGTCAAGAAATGTTGAAGAGATTATTAATGAAAGATGAAAGTAATTCCTCTGCCTGAAGATGAAGGTTTTAAAGAAGGATTTAAAGGAGAACAAGGAAGGCCCCTGGTAGACAAGAAGAAGAATTTTCCAGGTGTAAGGGAAGATCTGGAAAGGCAGGAGGCTGACAGTGAAAGGAGGGAAGGAAGGCAGCAGTAAGGTCAAAGGGCTAAGGAGAGCATGGGGAGTTGGAGGGGGAGGAATGAGAAACAAGATCAGAAAAGCAGGTGAAGGGAAATGAAACTTCCTTTTTTATTATTTAGCTGCTCTGTTATCGAATCAAGTTGACAGGTGTGGCAGTTAACATAACCTGGGCCTTTAAGTCCTGAAGCAGTTCAGAGCAGTTGCTCAGACTGACCCCCAAAAAGCTGTGTGTCTTTAAAAAACAAATCAAATGGCTGACTTGGGGCACGCTGCCAGCACCTGTATGAGCAGACAGGAGGGATGCAGGCAGCCCCACCAGGAGCTCTGGTGACGCCGTTTTCTGTATTGCACTGAATACAGAATCCAACCCAGTGTCTCTATTCCAGTGTTGAAAGCCCGAGCTGGGATTAGCGTGAGCTGCCTGCGGGACGGCTGCTGCCGCTACACCCACCACCTCCCCTGAGAGTTAAACGCCACGGGAAGGGTGACACTGTCAGCCCAGCGGGACAGCTCCCACCCACGGGAGTCGCAGCTCACCCAGAGACCAGAAATCACTTCTGCAGTGCATAAATATGGTCACTAATCTCACATCATCCACAACCAGATGAAAAATCCATTCTTCATCCCTCCCTGGCTAGTATCATCAAGGTTGTTTCAACCAAACAGCCGCTAATTTCGCCTCATGGTAACGGAAAACGAGCATTCCTACAGCACCTTTGGTTTCTCCCCGCATTCTCTGTGCCCATGGATAAAAGTAAGTTCTCTGCAGCAACAGCTGCAACACTAGCCAAAGTACAATAAACATATTTCAGAGCATTTACTGTGTATTTATCTGAGCCCAGTAAAAAGAATGGGAAACAGCTGTATAGTATCTATTTGATCACGTGGAACATCTGGTAAGTTAAAACTCTGTCAGGCTGTGCTAAGCCCACACTCGCTGACAGTATAAACGTACTTAAATGTGAAGGTAAAACCTTCACATCTGCTGCATATTGTTTCTCTTTTTTTAAGTTATTTTCACAAATATGGCACCGCTTCAGCACTACGGGCATAAATCTGGGTTATTTCATGATTATCAGATCCTTCTTGTTACAAGACAAATGCTGCAGCTGCGCTATGAGTAAAGCTGTGACAGGAAAAAAAAGAAAGAGCTAAAATAGATTATGTGAACCAAAGCTTAATTTAGAGTATGAAAAATGTCCATAAAACTTTGGTGGCAAAAAAGTTCAATTTCTGGGCCAAAGCCTGTAAATCCTATTCAGTTCCTACTGTGGTAAAACTTTTGCTGAAATCAAAGAGCCGTACCTGTCTTTACAGAACAGTTCACACAGCTACAGCACATGCAGTAGCCATTCACATAGCCATTCAGGGGATGTCTGCAGCCCTTGGGTTTCGTAGGGGACAGAAGTTTGGAATGGACATTGCAAAAGGCATTCAAGTATTGATTTTTATTCTCCATCTGTGATATTATAGGCATATAATCTCTTTGAGCCCTAATCCAGGTCTCTCATCCCCTGATTTTCTGTACGGCCTGACTGTCCGCTAGTCAGTCTCAACTTCCTTTCACTGTTCTTGAATGTGACACTGAGAACCATGTATGGGATGATTCCCACAAGGGCCACACAGTGGAAATTCAAGGCAGTACTACAGACAAATCCTTACATTCTTTGAGCTGATGAACAGCTTTGAGTAAACATCTTGGTTCTTAATCCAGAAGAGTCTTGCTTTGCATTGAATGTCATCTAGTTTCATCTACAGCACGTTGATTGCTCCTGTCTTCAAGGTCACTCAGTTCCTCCTGTGTGGTATCCAGTGTGGTACTGATAATGTCTCCTGTCTTTCTGTCAACAGATCTTACCACCTTGATATTTCCTGGTGAAAACATCTGGACTAACATGATAACCTTATTTTATCACAAACGTATGATTCTATGATTCTTTATATTATCGCAAAAAAATTTGGGTTAGTGCTATAGAAGAAACAGGTCTTAAAAAAAGACCTGAGGAACTCCACCAGCAATGTCTCTTTGGTCTAATAAATCTGCTTTCAACATTATCTCTCATTTCCTCCTCAGCTAGCTTCTTATTTATCTCACAAATTCTGTTCTGATCATCCTTCTCCCCAACTTAACTAATAATTTCTCTCGTGCTGCATTGCAAAAGCTCAGATAACAAGCAAGTAAAAGGGAGGCAGAATACTTAGGTTCAGGCCCCTGTGTACTATTTATGCATTTTACAGTGCATAATCACTGGATAAAACTCAGGAACAAATCAGAGACTATATGAGTACATGTACCATCTTCTGCTAAGACGATTCTAGCATTTTTCCATTCTGTGGACCAAGCTGAATCAGAGGAGGAAAGGAGTGTCTCTTCACCTTAATCTCACCTGTCCTATGAATGCTCAATAACTTGCTGTTAGGACATTCTTCCAAGAAGTTGGAGATACATACTTGACAACATTGTCGGGAAGAGAAAAGAGACTCCCTGCTTTCTTGGGAAATCTGACCACAGTGTCACACTTGCAGAATATTTGGACATCACTTGAAACACAGGTGAAGAGGACACCTGAGCCACCAGTCACATTCTGTGCCAGGCTCAATGCCATCTGCATTCACTAGGCAAGCTTCAAATCCACAGAACAGACTGAAGTCTTTAGAAACTTATGCAGAGTTTAAACACTTCTCTGTTTACTATCTGGATGGCATTAGACCTTAACCAGGACTCGGGCTTCCTGAATTGAGGAATCGAGTTCCCCGAACTCTAACTGGAGGATTTCAAATGTGTACCATCCCCTTGGCTAAAAGGAATGATTTTCAGAACCAACAATGAGACAAACTTAGAGAATTTCAACAGCTTAAAGTATGGCATTAAATAGTCTACAGATAATAAGCAGAAAATATAAATAGAAATAAATAGAAAAATTAAAAATAGTTTTTATATTTTAAGAGAATCCAAAAAAGGTGAACCTTACATAAATACACAAGTACTTACATTAAACACTAAACATGTCAGGTAAATAATTTTGTTTCAGAAAAAATATTTACTAAATTGTATTGTATGAAGTATTTTCACGTAACAAAATACAAAAAGTAGTTATGGTAAATATTTAGAGGTGACTGCTTATTGAACTATATAGCGGCTCTGTTAAAAAGTAATGACTACCAAAGTGCAATGTTTGAAATATCAAAAAGGAAAGAGCTGACATAAAAGACTAAAAGCCTGGAAAATTTGTTTTTTCCATGTATCAAGCCTTGCCAAAGGAGAACAAAAAGCATATAAAACCACAAAAAATTGCCTCCCTCAGAACAGAATGCAGCCAAAGAATCTTTTTTAAAAAAATAGAAAAAGGAAAACCATACCATTCAGCTTGAGACACTGAATTCCAAATTTCTGTATGGAAACATTTTCCCTGAGTTATAAATAGCTGAAAATTCAAGTTTATTATAGAAAATCCTAGTAACCCTTAATTAGAGCAGTATAATCTTCTTAATATAACCATAAATGTAATCAAATTAAACACACACACTTTTTTAAGCTCTGTGACTGCTTCAGAACTTCTAGTAAAGGTGCTGAGATTCATTCATTTAGTCCATACAGCTCATTCATACAGGCTTTAATAGCACTGGCAAATATTACCCAGAGCTGCTCAAAACCAACTGCAAGGACCCAAAACTAAGGGAGAAGAATCTGGAGGTTCAGGTCTTTACAATCTTTCTAACCAAGCAAAAATGAAGCTCTGCTGTCTTTTTCCACAAGGTGGTGTTCTGGCACAGAGGACAACAGAACCAAGGTAGGTCCATCTTGTACAAGGAAGAATTATTCAGGAGAGAAGTTTTAAACAAGGATCAGCAGGGAGGTGGCATCGTAACTCCATATGCATATGCGCAGTGACATGGACAAATGCCCAAAAACTGGGAGAAGGCTCTGAGACAAATAATACAATTGCTGGAAGGAGAACAAAGAAAACAGTCGTCAATCTTCTGAACGCATAGATGTCTCTAAACTTTACAAGAAATAGAGGAAATAAACAGGAAGAAATTAAAAACTTAGTACATAACCAAATAATGATTGAAGTGGTATTGCAGAGACTTGTTTATACAGTTCACACTACTGGAAGGCCGATATAAAACATATTCATTCCCAAATTAACTAGGGGGGAAATGGAGAAGATCCACCTGTGAGATACAAATAATATATACAGATATTCAGAAAACAGTGGGACACACCTGGTGAATATCCCTCAGAAAAGATAAACTGAGTATTCATCCTAGAACTTCTACTGTATGCTGCTGACATGACCACTGGGAGAACAGTAGCCAGGAACAGGCCATGACTAGCAAACAAACTCATCAGCCCTTGAGAAGCTTTCATTAAGCAATTTTTTCTTATGATACTGTTGC